GGCATATTATTACAAATGAGCACACCAATGTATTCTTACTTTCATTATAGCAACACTCTGTTGAGAAGTAATGGGCACTCTTGCTAAAATTAGGAGAATGTGAACAATTAGTTTCCAACCAATACCCAGTATTTCCATGCATGTCATAGCTTAAGAGTAGAGTTGAGCGAACCCGAACTGAAAAATTTTTTTGGACCCCGCACCCGAACACGGACATATCACAGTATGTTCGGGTTGGAGTTGGGAGTTCGGCGATTTAATGATGCATTTTGAAAGGCTACTAATGGCATGGCTGTGGTTGGCCAGTGCAGCAAGTGACCCAGCCTCTATAGAAGCTGGTCACTTGGTATTAGTAAATTATTCCACTACTCACTATACCACGAGTAGGGGCGGGTGGGGGCCCTAAATAACAATAAGGGGGGACCTACTTTCCTCCCCCCGGCCCCCACCCCTGAGCGGTGGGTGAGGGCCATAAATAAAAATTGGGGGTACCTAATTTCCTCCCCCCAGCCCACACCGCTGTGCTGTAGGTGGGGGAACTAAATAACAATAAGGGGGGGACCTAATGTCCTCCCACCGGCCCCCACCCCTGAGCGGTGGGTGGGGGCCATAAATAAAAATTGGGGGGGGGGCCGATTGTCCTCCCCCGTGGCCCCCACCCCTGAGCGGTGGGGGCAATAAATAAAAATTGGGGGGACCTAATGTCCTCCCCCTGGCCCCCATCCCTGTGCTGTGGTAGGGGGCACTAAATAAAAATTTGGGGGGACCTAATGTCCTCCCCCCCAGCCCCCACCCCTGCACATCGGGTAGGAGCCCCAAATAACAATAAGGGGGGACCTACTGTCCTCCCCACGGCCCCCACCCCTGAGCGGTGGGTGGGGGCCATAAATAAAAATTGGGGGGGACCTAATGTCCTCGCCCTGGCCCCCACCCCTGCGCAGGGGGTGGCAGCCCTAAATAACAATAAGGGGGGGACCTGAGGTCCTCCCCCGGCCCACACCCCTGCATGGCGGGTGGTGGCCCTAAATAACAATAAGGGGGGGATCTAATGTCCTCCCCCTGGCCCCCACCCCTGAGCGGTGGGTAGAGGCCATAAATAAAAATTCCCCCCCAGGTGACTAGGGGTCCCCAAACCCCTAGTCATCCACCTCCCCCAAAAAAACTCACCCCTACCTACCCCTCTCATCCTAAGAATAATGAGGGGTGACACTTGTCTAAATAACTGTAAAAAAAAAAATTAACTTCTTTCTTCTAAAATCTTCTTTTTTCTGCCTCAAAAAAGGCCAAATAAAAATCCAGAATAACCGACGCACTTTAAAAAAAAAAAAGAGCGTAAAAATAAAATAATATTTCTTCACCCATGGAGGGCTCCGCACATACTGAGCTCTGCAGGGCGGGGGAAGGCTTATAAAGCCTTGCCACGCCATGCAATTAGGCTCAGAGCACTCTGATTGGTGGGTTTAAGCCATGCAATCAGAGTGCTCTGACAGGTAAATGAAGAGACTGACAGGTAAGTCTCTACATTTACCTGTCACAGCACTCTGATTGGTTGGCTTGAAATCCACCAATGAGAGTGCTCTGTGTCATTTTATTTCTATAACCTGAAACCTTAATTGGTTCACATTATGGCCATACGTTTTAAAATGCCCGCGAAGTGCCTGCAAAATAGCTCTGTATCCAACTGGCTCCAGTCTGTCTGAAAATTAAACTGAGTCAGGGCCACAGATGCCTTTGTGGAGAATAATCTGTGGTAATCATAAATAGATGTACCACCATATTTATGCCACAGGTCCACCAACTTGTGTAAATACAGGTCAAACTCCTCTCTGCATTCCGGATAAACTGAGCACACCATGTCGATATAAATCCCAAAAGCCAGGACAAACTCAGGGTTAGAGAACTTCCTATTCAACCTGGGGTCCCTAGCCTTTAGTACAACCGACACATTGCCATAGAAATACGTCTTATTTTCCAGGATATTTTGGGAGGCAATCAGTAGAGAAACTAGATTGACATCCTTACCTTCCAAGATATCCTTCTTAATATGTGCTGGTAAATATGAGCTGGGTTAATGATGTTAGGGTTTTGTGGGGGACCAATGAAATTACCAGTCAGGGTGCCCGAGAGACCAGTAGGTTCTGGAGTAACCAATCCAAATGGTGCCACTGGTCTATCATTAGCATCCAAATGGTCCAGCCTATTGGTAATGCGTCCCAATGAGGACAGGACTGATGACAGTATGGCCTGAAGGTCAGGTGATTGGGCACTACTAATACCCGGTATTATCAGTGTTGGTGTTAAGTAATCTATATAAATAGAGTAGGAAAGCGTAGATGAATTTGAGTAATACCTACGAGAGTAAATAGCCATCATGTAGTGCCCATCATGTGATTGTAAATAGTGGCAAGTAATATGAAGCAATATGGCATACCTACCACTTAATAGACTAGACCTAAAAATGAACCTGGTGGGGCATAACTGTTAGCATAACAAGAAGGGCCTAGCACCTAGTAACATAAAAGGAACAGTTAGATTATTCGAGCAATGAGGGGCAGAACGTGGATTCGTAAGACAAATTCAAAACCACTAACCGATGCAATATTGTAGGAATCGAAAGAAAGGAGAGGATAGTGAATATGCAGAGTGACTTCAATCTGTAATATGTAATATGGCCAACATTAGAATTTCAAGAGAGCATAACTGATTACTAACCGACCAAAATGAACAGAACCCACCTAAAGGGGCGTGGTTACGCCGCGTAGAGGAAGAGCTCCGCTCCACCAGACCCTGAAATAGCCCCTAATAAGCGTCATACTTAGCCTAATGGGTCGCAATAAATGACCAGAGCAGCCCCAGACCCCAAGGAGCCTCCAACAGGGCCCCCTGGACAGATTCCTACACCCACAACCGGGCGCCAGCGGAGAGCTCCCCGCCGGGGTTGGATGGCACTACCCTCGAAAGAATTGAGGACAAGCTGCGGAGCTTGACGGCCTCCATGGCCACAAAAGACGACCTCAGGTCACGTACCACCACCATTCAAGACGCTCTCAGAGCAGAAATGGCGGGGATCCGATCAGAGGTGGCTTCACATGTGGGCCGCATCTCACTGCAAGAAGAGGCGACTGAGGCCCTCACAGCGCGCATGACATCTGCGGACACTGCAATAGCCCGCCAGGGCACGATGCTCCTCTCGATGAGGCGGCACCTCGAGGACCTGGATAACAGAGGCCGGAGGTGCAATATCCGTGTAACGGATCACCTGGCACCCCAACTGGGTACCTCCGTTGAAGGATGCTCCAGGCGCTTCCTGAGGACTCCAAACACTGCAGCAGACACCACAACCACCGAACCGGAGAAGCATTTGAATGCTCTCAAGCATATGAATGCTGTAAGCAGCTGAACAGGAAAAGCATACAATCAGCTTACACTCCTAGCAATCCGCATACAATCCAATCCCCCCCAATAACGAGACGACACTTCGTTTTGAGGGTCAAGCAGAACTGACTGTACTGGCACATACAACCTCTTTTATTCCCAATCCACAAATTTAGTACTGCCCACAGGGTTTTACAGAACAACCAATAACACACGTACATTACAGAAAACACTCCCAGCAATGGGTTAACATAATTATCACAAGCAGGAAAAATACAGTTTTTATACATGTGCTATAACTTTAAAAATATACGTCCAATCTTCATAAAAATTCCAATCCATCCTACAGCCGACATCACCACAGCACATAAAGTTCGAGAGGGTACACAGAACAACGCGACCCAGGACCCTGGAAGGTGGTCCGAGAGATCTTATATGCTACCATAGAAGTACCATGATTCATGGAAGAACTAGGCCTTCCGATACCGGTTGTCCCCAATTGGATACTGGGACCATCAGCCCCAACGCAGTGAACACAGAGAGGACACAGGTGGAGTGAAGCACGGCCCCCTCCGCTCAACCAGTCAGATGGCGCAGGGACCCGACATCCCCGGAGGAGTGAGTACCGACCTACCTGAGCCGACATCAGCCCCTCAGAAAACCCGATTCATGCAACCTCCCAGACTAAACCCGCTGGAGAAAGCTACACCAACCCCCGATGACTGATCAGTGCTGTAAAGGGGACTGGGACACCTACAGGTACGCTGGGTCACCACCTGGGGGATTTTGGGATTTTGGACAGGGCCATTCAGGGAACAGAGATAGGGCTCACCGTCCGGGGGGGTACTAGGGGGAGACAGGGGACTCTGGGGTGGGAAAAGTTAATGCCGTTTGATGTATTGACAATGTTATTGAGACATACAACTGAGACACCAAGGCGCACCCCTCACGTAAGGAAGAACCTGACTAGCCTGACACGGGTGGGGCAGACAGTTCCACTCTTGAGTTGACTACATCCTTGGGCGGAGCCTGACTCGCGCTTCCCAAAACACTTACGACTCCTGGGCAGGTACCAGAGCGAGGCACTACTGGCGCTGGTTGCAGCACAAGAACCACCACTTTATCTCCCTACAGGGGGCTAAACCCGGGATAAACCCAACACCGGAACGGAAGCCCACAACCCGGGCACACACCTCCTTCTCACTACAACAGACCTCGGCTGGTCCCACTCCCTGGGATCCCGGACTCTGGACTCTGTCTTTGAAACCTTCAGCGCTACCCTCTAACCCCTCTCACCCCCCCTTCCCTCTCCACTCCCTTCACCCTCTTCAGGTTGATCTGTGACAGGGATGCGTGCCCTGACAGAAACCCCAAAGTGATTAACAGATACTTGGGTACAATATGGACCTAAGAAAGTATCCTGACCACACCACGGGAATGGCCTAACAAAATACACCCCTGAGGATCCTCACTCAGAACTGCAGGGGCCTCAATATACCTGAACACAGAACCCACTTGCTGAGGGAACTGAAGAAAAAGCGTATAGCAGTGGCCATGATCCAGGAAACCCACTTCAAGGAAGGTGCAGCACCTAAGCTACAAAACAAGCACTACCCGAACAATTACTTCTCCAACCATTCGAGGGCTCATAAAGCGGGTACAGCCATAATACTAGCGGCTGAGCTTGAATTCAAAGAACTTGAGCGAGCACAAGATTCACACGGACGGTACCTCTTCCTAAAAGGCGTCATAGCAGACAGGATATACACCTTGGCTAACATCCATGTTCCCAACCGAAGACAAGCCCCCTTCCTCCGAAATACACTGCACATACTGGAGGATTTCACGGATGGAATACTGATTGTGGGGGGGGGACTTCAACGTACCCTTGGACCCAATACTAGATTCATCATCGGGACACAGCTGTACAAAACAAGCACTACCCGAACAATTACTTCTCCAACCATTCGAGGGCTTATAAAGCGGGTACAGCCATAATACTAGCGGCTGAGCTTGAATTCAAAGAACTTGAGCGAGCACAAGATTCACACGGACGGTACCTCTTCCTAAAAGGCGTCATAGCAGACAGGATATACACCTTGGCTAACATCCATGTTCCCAACCGAAGACAAGCCCCCTTCCTCCGAAATACACTGCACATACTGGAGGATTTCACGGATGGAATACTGATTGTGGGGGGGGGACTTCAACGTACCCTTGGACCCAATACTAGATTCATCATCGGGACACAGCTGTACCCCACAAGGTAGCATTCGATCCATTCGAAGATCGTTGGAAGACTTGAGACTGGTTGACTGTTGGAGAACGCGCAATCCATCGGTGAAAGACTATACCTACTTGTAGCAGAGAGCTGGTATTACACAGCCTATCTCCACTTTGGATCCCAGTAAGGCTCAGGAACAAGTAGAATAAATCCACAGAGTAATAATCCCAGCAGGCAAAAAGACTCCAACAATATCCCAATCGCAATCCCAATGACTGGACGACACACAGCATCAGGAGCTTCATCCCGGGTAGAGAGGCCAGGGATAGCACGCTACGACTATTCTCAATCCAACAACACGCAAGGAAGACAAAAACCCAACTACTACTATTATCTACAAATGCGGAAAAAGCATTTGATAGAGTTGAATGGACATACATGATGGCTACCCTACAACAGATGGGATGTGGGTAGAGGCTCCTCGCATGGATATCAGCTTTTTATAGCAAACCGCACGTGACCGTGAGAGTCAACGGGGCCATGACAGCTGACTTCGCAATCCTGTTCGCAATGTCCCCGGAACCACTACTCCAGGCAATTCGCCTAAACCCAAACATTCAAGGTTACAGCTGGCAAGGAACAAACCATAAAGTGGCCGCATATGCGGACGACCTCCTTTTTTTCATACAGAACCCTAGAACAACACTGCCGTGTCTCCTCTCAGAATTCGATACATTCGGAAAGATCTCGGGCTTCAATCTTAATCTCTCAAAATGTGAAATCTTGAACATCACGATCCCCACAGAAGAATACATATCCCTAGAATCGCAATTCGCATTCCCCTGGTGTTATGGCATATGGGTGGCTACAGACCCAGAAGACACATACCGATTCAACTTCACACCCCTTCTAAAGACAATCCTAGCGGACCTGACTAGATGGTCGTACCCACACATAACCTGGCACGGAAGAGTGGCGGTCCTCAAAATGAACATATTACCGAGAATCCTATACCTCATGCAGACGATCCCGTTAGCTATACCAGGGATCTTTTTCTCTGCCTTAAAAATGGCGATAATTAAATTTGTGTGGCGCGGCAAATGCTCCCGAATCCGACACGACATACTCTGCCGACCAAGGAACCACGGGGGACTAGCACTACCGGATATTAAGAAATATCACCAAGCCACGGTAATGCAACGGATACTTGACTGGCACCAGAAACCTACGACGAAACAATGGGTAGAGCTCGACAAAGGTCTCATTGGACCAACGCTTGAAATGAAGATATGGGGAGGGTTTTAGGTTACCTAAAACAATAACGAGGGGCTAATACCGCAAACAATCCGTGGCTGGAGGTCGCTGAGAGACCAGAGCCACGTATCGCCTACTCCCAGCCCAATGATCCCACTCACTCATAACTAGGCCATAGGAGGGGGACTCCCCCCTGGAGTATGGCCCATCACGAGTAAAGCATTTGAAGGGGGCAGGCTCCGTGAACTAACCTCATTACTGTGAGAAGAACCAAGGACCCCCCTCACGGTGCTAAGATACCTAGAACTAAAACATTACTATGACACGATGCCACATAAATACCGCCTGCATAGGGATCTCACCTGATTCGAGGATCTCTGTGACAGAGGCGTCTCATTAGATCACGCAATCTCAGCACTCTACCAACACTTAATTATAGGAGATACAGCCCAGGCCTCCACCTTCCGCCACCAGTGGGAAGGACAGCTTTGAAAGACACTTACACCCTCGCAATGGGACACGGCATTGTTATGGCAGCAAAAAAGCTCTATGAGCTCTTATTAGCAGGAGGTAAACTACAAACTGCTCTCCCTATGGTACAGAACACCGTCCCTGTTACACCAGATCTTCCCATAAATCACTCTGACATGCTGGAGATGCCAGGCAGAACGTGGCACACTGATACACATATGGTGGGAATGCAGGGACATCGCCCCATATTGGGTAATGATTAAGGACATCGTAACCAATATCCTAGGAGACATACCAGAATGGAATGCAGAACTGGCCCTGCTGCACATCTCAACACACTCTATCCAGTCGTACAAACGATCTATATTGCGTCACCTGCTAAATGCGGCTAAAGCTACCATACCGGCACACAGGAAAAAGCGTGACACACCAACAAAGAAAGAATGGATCCGCAGGGTGGAAGACATCCATGGAGCGGAAGAAATACACACCTCCCTGACAGGACGCGGAACAAAACATACGGATACATTACTTGTTATAGGCAAGCAGAGGACGCTCCCGAACCCACTAACGGGGCGGTGGCATACACGAACCCCACTTGACACAGATTACCCGCCCCTTCCCACACCCTTCCCTTTACACCTAAACCCTGCTTTCCCTCCTCCCCCCCCTCAATTCTCCAACCCACAAACTAACTCATTTCGGGCCCCGGGGAGATGGGGACGGGATCGGAGGGATACACCACTAGCCATAAGACATGCTAACCTCCGAAACAGGATAAGCACCCAGTCCTAAGGTGATGAGGGAAGCAGTTCGACCCATAAGAAACACGAGATACGCCTTGTTGCATATACCATTATCAAAAGAGTAGATGGA